GTGCGTTCGTGCGTGCGTGCGTGCGTGTGTGTGTGCGTGCGTGCGTGTGATAGTAACATACCTGCCAGGGTGCCGTGCTGCTAACTGCTAACGTGCCACCCACGATGAAGTTCTCCGTGCCTGTGTGTGTGTCAACAAGAAGATATACAGTTTGGTCAATCCGTGGCGGATCATAAATTTAAGGCATAAATGCATATCAACCTATAATAATATCCGCTATGTGGCAAGGGAACCATAGCGGTGTCATCCGAGGTTTAGCAATTGCTCATGTGATTCTGGCGCACATTTCTTATCCTGGCGGGACATTCTACCAGCATCAGCACGCTTGTGTGTTACACACAAAAACACGCGCACGCGCACACGCACGTGTACACGCTCACGCACACACACAAACACACACACACACACACACACACACACACACACACACACACACACACACACACATGTATATGTTCTCTAACGTTTCACTCGTCGATTTGCACCTTTTCTGTTTTGGTTGTTCACGCGCAAGCCGCGGGGGCCACGCGGCCATCTTGGCTGGTCCCTCGCGATGGTTCCGGACAGCGTGACGTCAGTGCTTGACGGACGTGACCTTAATCGGCGGCGTGTGGCGGCGTTCACTGCGCATGCGCACATCACCAGTAGACAGATCGCAGATAATTTCATTTTATCTGCGAAATGAAACATTTTGGGATCTGGTCAGCAACACGCAGCGACGTCTGGTGATGAAACGCCATAACAATGTTCGTGGTACATTATGATTAAGTCCTTTGAAACGCATTCTTATAATACCCCGCTGGTAGTAGAGTAGAGTATAGAATATAGCACGTAACACAGTATATAATATAGTATATAACATAGCGTACAGTATAATGTATACCAAAGTCTGTAACACTACATATAACTTATTTATAACATAGTATTTAACATAACAAACCATATAACAGTATATAACATATCACATAGAATAGAGTATAAACTATACCATAACGTTAATCATACTATGGAGCGCAGTGCATAATATAACATATAACATAGAATAGAGTATAATCTATAGCATAACGTTAATCATACTATGGAGCGCAGTGCATAATATAACATATAACATAGAATAGAGTATAGACTATAACATAACGTTAATTATAGTATAGAGCTAATTAGTGCATAATATAACATATCATATAGAATAGATTATAAACTATAACATAACGTAGAGCATAGTATGGAGCGCAGTACATAATACAGTATTTACCAGTAGTTCATAGTATATTAGCGAAATTCATCAGCCAAAATATTACAACGTACCCGTTCTTCTCTTACAGTCAGTGAAACAACTACGACGCTGTGGAGGGATCTGTGAACTAATGCGTGCTTTATCGTCATCTTATATATGGCTGGAAAAAGACCTTCCGCTTTAAACTTTATGCTCAAGAGATTGTCCTTGACTTCGTTTAATTGTGTTATGCTCAAGTTTGATGCAATGGCACGCAGTCTTACTTTCGCTTTTACAGTTTCACGCACGTGTGCTTATTGCGTGTGTAATTATTCAATCCGCGTTTCAACACGCTGTCATCTTCTCTGCGTTCCCTTTTCCTTCTTATTGCACATCAAAACGATCGCGATTCGAATTACTCATCGTATAGTCGGTCATCGGCAGCTAAGGTGAACTAAGATCAGCAGCGCAGAAAACGTAGTAGGCGCGCTGCGTGCTTTGACACGGGCCAGTCTAGACTGATGTTCACGCGCCCTCGTTTGTTACGCGTGCGGCGTACAGACGTACGATAATAAACCTCCAACTAAGAAGACAAGGCCAGCACGGGAGAGGAGGGGGTGTGTAAGTTCCGTGTTTACCCAGCCGCTATGAACACACGATTATAGAAACTAAACGAAGCCCACACCCATAATAAAAATTGCCTAGGAGACCGAAACGGGCATTACACAGAATATATATATATTAAACTGCGAGGCTACGCCTACGATGACGACGCTATATGGCGCAGGATAGCGTCCCTTGGCAAGAAGTCCTGTTGATCGACGGCACAGCTTAGCTGAGACGGCCGCAGAGAAATCTTGTTGCTTGATTGGCATAGCTTGGGCTATAGCTAGCCATGGGAGTGTGACCTAGCTTGGGTAGAGCCAGGTAGTTTAGTTTTTTAGCCGAAAGGCACTGAGGGTGGTCACAGCCAGAGTTTTTTTGCGCCGTCAGTGGTTCTTTTACGTCCCCATTGGTCTTAGTATTACTGGAGACGGGACCGCCATTTTACGTAGTCATCCGAGCCACGGGAGATTTACAACCCCAATGTTGAGAGCCAGGTTTTTTACACCTTGAGAAAATTCACTGCCCCGGCCGGGGTATGAACTCACATCACGCCTTCAGTAGATCGACAGTGTACGAGGCCTAACCACTGGGCCACGGAGGCTCTCATTTTCTCCTCATAAGCCCACGCCCAGCCGGTCAGGTAAAATCATAATTATATAGGTGAGGCAGTTTTTACTTGCGGTTGTTTGACGCGTGCGGGAGGGACCCTCGCTGATATGGAAAGCGTGTTGTTGATTCTCACAGTGTACCATTGGATTGCTGCAATCTGCGCATTCTGTTTGGATGAGAAGATGGGCAAGGGTTCTTCAACGAAAATAGCCTCGTGGAAGAGAGGGTAGCGTATGGGCGGCTAATAAGCGTAGATAGGTGAGGGCACGAGTTTGGCATGGCTAATGCTCAGGTGAAGCTAACTGCAGATAACGAGTGTACGCGTGGAAAAATTCTATCTGCCCTTTGAAAGTAGCCTGCATTGCGCCTAATGAGGGAGTCACAGCTACGATAGCGATTGATTTTAATCGAAACGACTCCTTCGCTACCTTAACGATCATGTATCATGTATATAGCTATATCGAGATCTATATTCGCAATGTTGCTGAGGAGCATTAAGATACATTGCTATAAGCCAGGGACGTGGCGCACGTTCCACGCCCTCCATCGGTAAGTGTTATCGGCAAATACTCCTGCAGACGTTGCCGTCGCTGCGGCGGTTAATGTAAGAGACCAGATGTAGCCCCCGGTACTTGTCCACGCGCAAGTAGAGCATGTAAATGTGTATCTTCAATAACATCCGCGACATAGAAGAGGTTCAGTGTGAAGATGTTATTACTGCTCTGTATGTAAGACGCATCCGGGTGCAGCTGCGTGACCTTGACGTGTCCAGAAATGAGCAATCGGAAAAATGTGGTCTGGAACGTGCAGACCATAGAAGTAATATAATAAAATAATATAGTGTCTCTATCATAGATATCATCAAGAGTACATAATAGAGATATTACATCTGTTATGTACTCTTGATATCATAATTATAACACCGTTGTTATATAATATGTTGTTATATAATATTATAGATATCATATAACACCGTGTTATAATTATAATACGTTGTTATATAATATTATAGATATCATATAACAACACACACACACTGTACTGTAGTGTACGTCTGTGTGCTATTTGAGACATGATATGGAGAGTCATTGCAGGGGCGTGTACAGGATTTGTACCAGGGGGGTCTAACCGTAACCCAAACTTGGGAGCACGCGAAGGGGGGGGTCGGGGGGCCCTCCCCCAGAAATTTTTTGAAATTAGACCCCCTCAGATGCGTTTTCTGCGCGAGCAGGGGTGGGGGGGTCCGGACACCCTGAACCCCCCCCCTGTACACGCCCCTGCATTGAGTAATGATAGTAGATGCTACATCGGCGGACGGATTTCCAGCAGGCTAACACGAACCCATAAGCGTGCCTCCTCGTCGACCAACCGACAATAACAATGAACTAAAATAGCAAATGAACCGACAATAACACTTACTCATCCGTGCGTGTGCCCGTGTGCTCGTGTGCATGCCTGCGCGAGCGTGTGTCTGCACACCATGAGACCATAGATATCATATAACACGGTGTTATATGATATCAATAATATTATATAACAACGTATTATATAACAACGGTGTTATATGATATCTATAATATTATATAACAACGGTGTTATATGATATCTATAATATTATATAACAACGGGTGTGCGTGTGCGTGTGCGTGTGCGTGTGCGTGTGCGTGTGCGTGTGCGTGTGCGTGTGCGTGTGCGTGTGCGTGTGCGTGTGCGTGTGCGTGTGCGTGTATGTATGTATGTATGTATGG